CGGTTTAGGGTTTAGGGTTTAGGGTCGTCGATCGCATCACTTCATAATCCAAGGCCCCTGCTAGCACTGACAAAATATCCTTGGCAGCAGTCAGAGCAGGGTCCAAATTTATCCTTTGGCTTTAAATTCAATTGGCCAGCTCTTTCGAGTTGACTTTCGAAACCAAGTACTGCACAGATAACCAAGGTACTTATCACCGTGCTTCGGGAGTCCCTTCACCCTTGAAGCATGAGGTACCTGCAGCACCTAGACCTAAGCCCTAAACCCCTAAACCCTAAACCCCTAAACCAGAAAACCCTAAACCCTAAACCCAAACACCAAAACCCTAAACCCTAAACCCCTAAACCAGAAACCCCAAAACCCTAAGCCCAAACACCAAAACCCTAAACCCTAAACCCTAATAAAAAAACCCTAATCTCCTTGTCAGTAGGAGGCAAAAATCTCCTTGTCGGGTGGGAGGAGGGACAGCCGAGCTCTGGGATGCCCCTGGACGAGGGAGCAGACGCAAAAAAGCGTGTCTTCAATTTGCTCTCTGTGTTCCTTAGCCCTTAGCATCAAAATAGCACAAAGCATTATATAATAGGGTCTTTGGGCCCAAAAGCCTTAAAAATATGAGTCCCTTGAGGGTAAGGGTAGGAATCAACTTTCATTTTGTTACAACATGCATCGAAGGGATTACTGAGAAAGTTATGTTTACTTTGCGTGGATTCAGGGTTTGGGGCACTATAGGGCCGGGACCGACTTTTATCCATATGGGTAATTCTCTAAATTAGGGTCCCTTTTTAGGTCCCCAATATAATACGGCACCCTTATAAACAGGACCCTAAAAGGGACCCTAATTTTGAGAACTACCCATATGGTTCCGAGCAATTCCAGACTCTGTATTCATACTACAGTGAGCCTTACTATCAGTTTGTCAAATTGTCCTATACCGCAAAACCCCACCAAGCCCTGGTCCAATTAATGGGCCGTGGGGTGTAGGTTTTCGGCCTTTGGGCGTTATGGGATTGGAGGTTTCGCAGCTTGGGGCATTGAAAACCAGATGCAGCACATTTAAGTACGCCTTTAACCCTGCAGAGCGAAAGCATTGGCCACAGAGCCCGCAGAGCGAGTTGGCCTCCTGAAGCCCTGGTTGAACCTATGACGCTTTACAATTGGCCACTAGCAAAACGCGGTAAACGGACCTGTGGAAAGACCCGATGCTCCCAACCTTGAGTCGTCGTGGACAGGTGAGTCTTAAAGACATGCGAGACGGCATGCTCGCTACGCTAGACCTTTAAAGCCGCAGCATGCTTTCTGCAGCCATAGTCGAATCTGAGCAGCGTTGCTGTGCTCAATATCCCGACGCCTGAACCTTATGATCCTGGCTTTAGGGCTTTGTTTATAAGGAACCCTTTGAAGGTGAGGTCCTTCCTTCAGAGATGTTTGAAAGCCTATTGCACACGTTTGAACCCTAAGAGTGTCCGAACAGAAAAGCTTACGACAAGTAGTCCCCAAACCCTAAACCGTAAACCCGACATCGAGCCACATGCCTCGCGTGGATTGTCCGCGACTCTAAAACCCCAAACCGCTTCAGCAGAAAAGCGAGACCGACCCTACACCTGCTGAGCTCTGGAACCCGCATAACACCCTGAACAAACCTAACTCCTGAACTAAACCCCTCAGGCTCCACGTACATGATATAGTACATACTTATAAGCCTTGGTATAGGAGCCCCTTGAAGGATTAAGCATATAGTATTTGGGGTACATGGAGCCATACCCTAAGGGTCCGAGTACCTAAAATCATATACTCTTCTGAATACTATCCTACAAGACTACTATCCGTAACCCAAGTACATGATTATTAGGTCCTTTGGACCCCTTTAGGGATAGGGAATGTTATTCTTGCATCAGGCTCCTCTCCCACGCTCGCCCTCCTCCCCGTCGCGGCCCGTGCCTGCACCCTGTGCAGACCTCCGTGGGCGAGCCTCGGCAGACTTTGAAGGGCGCAGGGTTTAGGGTTTAGGGTTTATAGGGTTTAGGGTCCAGGGTTTAGGGCAGGGTTCGGGTTACGGTTGAGGGCTCGGCGGAGTCGTTGTGGATTGCGAAAAGAGGCATGCACCAGACTTTGGTTGTGTATATATGGGCATGTTAGAGACAGCCCAACACCTACTGAACACTACAAAGTAGAGATCGCCCGGTTCTTGCAAAGGCCCGTCTAATATTTTTCGTGGACCCCCAACTACTTCTGGGCACTTCTGTGTCCTTTGCACCATAACATGGCTATTAGTTCAAAAACTGAGAACTGCAGGCTCGAAGCGCCAGTGTTGCATCCGGCTGCTGCGACTACTGCTACAACAACAACAACAACAACAACTACTACTACTACTACGACGACGACTACTGCTACTGCTACTGCTATTCAGCTTTTCCTACTACTACTACTACTACTACTACTACTACTACTACTCCTACTCCTACTCCTACTCATACTCCTACTCCTACTACTCCTACTCCTACTACTCCTACTCCTACTACTACTCATACTCCTACTCCTACTCCTACTCCTACTCCTACTCCTAGTACTACTACTACTACTACTACTACTACTACTACTACTACTACTACTATAACTGCCACCCTCCCCAGCAGTGCCTTGATCCCGCCAAGCTTTCGCGCGAGACGACAACGGAAGTAGCCCAGCAAGATTCCAGTACAGAGGGTCTAACGGTTTGGGGTTTAGGGTGCTGGTTGAAGGTTTAGGGTCTCATCTTCATTGCACATTCTTCAAGCCCCAATCAAGCTGCAAAGCTGTACAGATTTCATTCTGAGGGTGTTGGGGGAGAGTGAAAGAGGGGTGGGAGCAATCAGAAACAGTATCCCGTATGTATTCTATGTACACTTCAAAACTCTACCCTGATTACTCAGGACCGCGTCTCAAAGTCCTTTGGATTATAGTTTTGGCAGATATTTCACCACCTCAGCCTTCGCCCTTAAGGTTCTAGGGTCTGGGTAGGGCTAGGGCTTAGACCGGAAACTGTTGCGCCGCAAGCGGAGAGTCTGGAGATGCAACCCTCCAGAAACCCGCCAGCAGCATCTGGAAGCCCTGAAACCGTAAACTCTGAGGCGGTGACCCTAAAACTAAAAGCCCCAAACCCCGGATCCCAAACCCTAAACCCTATCAGCTCCAAACCCTAAAACCTAGCCTTAAAGTACCTCGAAGGCCCCATACCCAGACCCCAAAAAGGATCTAAAAAATAGATCCCCTAGTTAGGGACCCTAACTACTAAAGGGTACTTTATAGGAACCCCCTTAGGGGATCTATTTTTTAGATCCTTTTGGGGGTCTGGGTAGCCTTGACCCTGAAGCCCTAGGATTGCAAGAGCTCGGCTTCGAGATTCCCAGTGCCTCGATCGATTGGGGGGTTTGGGTTTAGGGTTTAGTGTTTGGGTGTTTGCAGTGGGGGTTTAGGGTTTAGGGTTTTGGGTTTGGGTGTTTGCAGTGGGGGTTTAGGGTTTAGGGTTTAGGGTTTGGGTGTTTGCAGACCTGCACATAGTATACAGAAAAAACCTAAGGAAACCCTAAACCCTAAAGCCCTAGAGTAGTTATTAAACAATGCCAACAGAAGTATATGTATGTTGGGTTCCTGAATATAGCTGTATACTCTAACATATCTCGAACCCCTCTTCGAATTCTTGTGGCCCCTATAATTTGCCCTTCCCCATTTGCCTAATGGGTATAGATGCTTAGGCCATAATAAATTGCCTATACAGGAGCCCCTTTAAGGCGTAAGTAGTTTATATAGTATATGTATGTTATAGGGGTACACGGAGCTTAAGGGCGCTTAGGGTTCCCTCGAATGATTTCTTGATCTCGTTCCTGAGAAGGGTGGGCGGTGTGTGGGTCACGGGTACATCTCACCGAGTGTAGGGCCGGGCTTTGAGTATACGGTACCCTCTATAGAAGTTACATCTTTGGCTATCCAATCTTTTGGCTAGGATCCGTTGGCAAGGAAACAAGGTAGTCCCAACGAGATAACCAAGAGGGTCCGTAAATACACTAGTATTTTGGCATTAGGTGCCCAAAACCATGACAAGGATGGTCTTTTGGGACCGACTTCCATAATGGCAGTATATACTGGACCCTCTGGGTAACTGCAACTGAGGATCCGGATAGGCCTCAGGGGTGTGTAGTTTTTTGACTCGTACAAAGCGAGACACTTGGTGATTAAGGGGTTGGGGTCTTCGCGCGCACCCGACGATTTGTCAGGTTGCTTGGATACACCGTAACGCACCACAACCCCAAACCAACGAAGTTATGGAGGCCCAGCTAATTTGATTTCTCTAGTGGGTGTCACGAAGCCCAAAACTCCAAACTGGCTGAGATTGTAGGGCCCGGGAACAAAAAGGGGCTTTAGGCCTAGATCCGAGTTCTGGGTTTAGGCTGCAGGAGGTCCTGGATGTTTTGGATTCCGGTTTAGGGTTAGGGTATAGGGCCTGGATGTTCATGAACCCTACCTCGGGCAATGGGGTTTGCAGAGTCTGTTCTATACACGAAGCCCTATGTAAACCTAAGATGTCTGGGACCCCAAATCGCCCTAAGCCCCCCTATACAGACCCGAAGTCCTGTAAAAACACCAGGCCGCAAATAAACCCGAAGCCCTAGATAGAACCTTCTAAGGACTTTAGGAGGGACCCCTAATAGGGACCCTTAATCCCATGACCTTAAATAACCATTGCATAGTCCTTATATACCCCTTATATAGCGAGGTAGTCTTCATATTAGCCCCAAGAACCTACAAGGGTCTTTATTAAGGGTCCCTCCTAAAGCCTTAGAACCCTAAACCCTAAACCCTAAACCCTAAACCCTAAACCCGTCACCTGACCCCCGATCTTCCTTGGCTCATGCTGCCTGAACGCTGCCGTTTTCATTTCGTCCTTGGAGCCTTAGAGCTTAGCTCTTTGTTGGGTAGGGTTTAGGGTTTAGGGTTTAGGGTTTAGGGTTTAGGGAGCCTTAGAGCTTAGCTCTTTGTTGGGTAGGTGCGGCTGCTTCGAGGCTTGCCCTGGTTGCTCTGTTTAGGGGATTTAAGGGTTTAGGGTATTTGGGCTTTAGGGGTTTAGGGTTTAGGGTGGGGGTTTAGGGTAGGGTTTAGTGAAATAAGGGTTTAGAGTAAAAGGGTAGGGGTGAAGAGAGACCCTCGTTCAAAAGGGTATGGGTCCAGTGAATTGTTCTCTTCGGGGTCAGTTCGAGGGGTCCTTCAGTTTCCGAGGCTTTCATACTCAGGAGCTGAGTAGGTAACCTTAAACCTTTTGGGGCTTATATGATCCTACTATAATCCAAAAGGTTAACTTTTTTTGGGCTAGGGTACTCAGCCCTTAGGCATACGCTCTAGGGTTCAGAAGGCTTTTGGCTGCCCCTGGTCCGCTTAAGACCATATAAGGCTGAACGCAGCATTTGGCCGGCTTGCTGCCAGGGGTTGAGAAACACGGGCCCAATTGCAGATCCTGAATTTAGTGCCCGTAAGCACCCCCTGAACCCTAAACCCCTAAACCCCCAACTCCTAACCCCTAAACCCTAAACCCTAAACCCCTAAACCCTAAACCCCTGAACCCTAAAACCCTAAAACCCCTAAACCCCTAAACCCCTAAGCCCCTAAACCGACACCCGCTAGCATTCAGCCGGGTGTCGAAGGTCGCCATCCTTAAAGTTACCCTCCATGTGCCTTCAGGGTTTTAGGGTTTAGGGTTTAGGGTTTAGGGTTTTAGGGTTTTAGGGTTTAGGGTTGAGGGTTCAGGGTTTAGGGTTTTAGGGTTTTACGGTTTTAGGGTTTAGGGTTGTGCCTTCAGACTGCAACACCCAAAGTCGTCCTGTTCCCAGACCCCCAAAAGGATCTAAACAAATAGATCCCCTAAGGGGGGTCCTATAAAGTACCCTTTAGTAGTTAGGGTCCCGCATTAGGGGATATTTTTTAGACCCTTCTGGGGGTCTGGGAACAGGACGACTCCCGCGTCTTGGTGCCGGGGGCGGGGGGGGGGATGGTTGCCTCCACCCCGAACCTCCTCAAGATCATCAAACACTAAATCCCAAGAGCCGATCCATCCCAAATCCTAAACCTTGGAACCTCCAAACCTTAATCCCTAGACCCCAAGCCCTCGCAACACCTCTGTTTTGTTTGTGTCTAGGGCTTTTTGGAATGTGGGATGGCAATTTTTGAGCCCCCCCCCCCGCTTACAAGAAGTTCCTCAGCTCCTAAAGCACCACACATGTCCAGGAAGTGATGGGGATAGGGTTGATGATATGAACCCTGCGTTACCCATAACAAGGAATATACCATAATTCCCATAGTTTACGGTCCATAAGGTAATGAAGGATTTATATCATCAACAGCAGGGGACAGTGCTTCAAATCCAAGCCTCAGAACCCGCATGGTCAGCCTTGCGACCCCTGGGCCGTGAAGTCATAAAAATCTCGGTAGCCCGACACGCCGCGACAGTCTTTTGAGAGTCCTGGTTGCGTTGATTTTTTGATTTTTTGAATCCTGGAAAGCAGGTTGGAGTAGCAGTGGACGCTATGCTCTCGCCCGCGGCCGAGCATCTTGGCTTTGCTCTGCAGGTTGATGGCGGCCCCAACCTGCCATCGCCCTACTTATCGTTCAAGAGTCCAACCAAGCTTTCAGCGCTGGTTTCGGGCGGAGGAGTTCGTACAGGGTTTGAAGGATTAGGGTTCAGGTATCAGCATGGCGCAGATGCACGGCTTGTAGTTGAGAGGTATCCTGGGCCCTTCAAGCCTGAACGTCATCACCGACCCGATTCCCCTCATCTGCATACTGGTCACGACGGTGATGACGATGATGATGATGATGGCAATGGTGATGGTGGTGGTGATGGTGATGATGGTGATGATGATGATGATGATAGCTGCTGTTGATGATGTTGTTCATGTTTCTCATTATCGTAGCTCTCGGATATCATGCACTCCTCTGCCCCCGTTTCTGCATTCATTTGGCCTTCATCTTCGCCGCAGCGACCTGTTTTGCCGAAATACGAGGAGTGGGGATGCGTACCCTTCATTCAAGAAGGGTCCTCCCCGAAGACCACCAGAGATCCCAAACACCAAAACCCTAAACCGCTGGCTCCCTAAATCCTAAACCCTGCGGCCAAGGCCTGGTTTCTTCCCAGCAGATATGGCCCGGTCAGACAAGGAAATCTCCTTCGGTAAGGCGGCTCTACAGTTCTGACTTTACCTATCGTCTCCATTGTAGTTCCTTTTTGGGGATACCTTATAAAATCCTGAATACATAATTGGTTAAACCAAAAAAAGGAACTACAACGGAGACTATAGGTAGTAACCCTAAACTCCATAAGCCCTATGATCCATAAACCCGAGGCCCTATCTCAAGGCAGCCCCTAACCCAAAACCTTAAGCCGACGACTACACCCTAAACCCTAAACCCTTAAACCCTTAAACCCTAAACCCTTAAACCCTAAGCCCTAAGCAAGCAGGTGGCCTTTCAGCGAGGCGCTTCTTGGGCAAGCACTGACGTCGATGCAAGCCCACTGAGGCCGTGCTTGGGGTTTAAAGCAGGTTTGGGGTTTAGGGTTTTAGGGTTTAGGGTTTAGGGTTCTAGGGTTTTAGGGTTTTAGGGTTTAGGTTTGAGGGTTCTGGGGTTTAGTGTTCGGTGTTCAGGGTTTGGGGTTTAAAGCAGCTGAGACTCGAACAGTTTAGGCGGTTGAGGCTTGAGGGTTTCAGAGTAGCTAAGGCTCGAGTTTGGAGTTTAGGGTTTAGAGGCCCTCGATACTTAGTGCTTTTTCAAGGGCTCCCTCCTGCACTTGTACTCTACGCCAGCATCCTATGTATTCTAATTGTTAAGCCCCCCTTTTAAGAGGGGCCTCCAGGGCTCCCATGGACCATCGGTTTGTTGTTTTCAGCTTCTCCTTTGAATGTCCAAGGTCTGAGGGCCCAAGCTGACAGATTCCCTAAACCCTAAACCCTAAACCCTAGGGATTTGCCGGTGTAGAGCCGGTTCGCGGTTTCGTTTGCTCTCCCTACCCCAGGTACCTACTGTATAGGGTACTAGAGCCTTTAGGGCCCTATCTAGTAGGTACCCGGGGGGTTAATTAAGGTCTTGCATCCGGAAAGTCAAACTTCAACCGGTCTAAATTTTGGAGCGAGCTTGCAGGGCATGCGTGGGGGCATTGATACCTCGGAAGCCAAAGCCCAACCCAAAGGATGTTTTCTTAAGGCCCTAAGCCCTAAAACGTATACTTCGACTTCTGCACCTATGAACCCTCGCCTGGCATGTCCGAGTTGTGAGAGTGTAAACCGCATACTTCCAATAAGAGCGAAATCCAGCCAAAGCCCAACCCAAACGATGTTTTAAGGCCCTAAACCCTAAAGAGCCCTAAACCCTAAAGAGCCCTAAACCCTAAAGAGCCCTAAACCCTAAACCGTATACTTCCAATAAGAGCGAAATCCTATCAACTCTCTCTCGAAAGCAGTGCAAAGGCTCTAGACATCTCCATCTGCCCGGAACGCCCCAAACTCGAAACCTGACGTCGCCCTTATCGAAGCCCTGGTGGTACCCAGAGAGCCCCAATACCCCTTAGTTAAGGAAAAAAACTGAAATCATAAGATGAAGCCTCTTATAATTTAAGGTATATTCCTTAATTAAGGGGTATTGGGCTCTCTGGGTACCCTTATAAGCCTCCTAAACCCTAAACCCTAGACCCTATATTCCTTAATAAAGGGGTATTGGGCTCTCTGGGTGGCCCTTACTTGGAGGTTCATGGGTAGTTATAAGTGGGGTTATAAGTCCCCTACTTGGGTTAATAACTATAGGTACCCTACTTATAACCCTACTTATAACTGACCATGAACCTCCAAGTACGCAAACCCTAAACCCTAAACCCTAAACCCTAAACCCCTAAACCCTAAACCCTAAACCCTAAACCGCAGGAACCTGTCACCTATGTCATTACCGGACGCAGAGCTGGCAGACTTTCAGGCAGTGCGGGAGGGTTTAGGGCTTAGTTAGGGCTTAAGAGAGCTAGAACCCAACAGAAACACAGTGTTTTTTGCAACTTTGACTTTACCAACAGAAAGACAAGGGTTTAGGGGTTACGGGTTATGTTTTTTTTTGGAGTTTTGGTGCTCGTTCTACCAGAGGTTTTAAAGCAGAAGACAGAACGTTCAAGATAGGCGGCGTGATTGGTTAGGGGTTCAGGGGTTTAGGGTTTAGGGGCTACAGGCCATTGAATGGCATGACTACGTTTATTGCGTAGGCCTTTTAAGGCCCAGTAAAAAAACCTTGAAGGACTAATGTGGCGGCTCAAATAGTGGACCCCCCC